TACCTGTCGGGACCGTTTCCCAGCTCTGCCCTGCGGACGATGATGATGATGTCCCTGGTCCTCCGCGGACGGAATATGGTGCCCTACGGTACGGTGGTGGCATCGCGAATGCGTATCGTTGCGCTGAGAAAGTGAAAACGGCCCGCTCGCCATGCAGGCAGGCCAGCAGTCCATCTGGCAGGCGGGCTCGGGCGATGAGCATGGCGATGATGCTTGATTGAATCTAGCCCGCAATGGCAGTCCCTGCCCGCCCCGCCTGCCCCGCTCCAGACGTAAGAGCTGGTCAGTGTTTCCTCCAGTCTCCCTGGCCCTACCCCACACTGCCAGCAGGTCTGGGCTCCAAATCAGTCTTTCTTTTTTTCGGAAGCAGCAGATAATACTATTCTGTGTTTCTCTGTCATTGGCTGTTTGTTTTAAGTTGTCTATTTTTTCTGTTGTTGCAGCGCTGAGGGACGAGGATGAAGTCGACCGAGCAGTGGTGAGTATGCGCGCTTATGTCTCTCCCTCTCTCGCTCCTATAGTGAAGGGGGCCCACCCAGGCTTGTGTGCCCGTGAGAGCGAGAGCGACAGAGGCGCTCTGCTGCCGACCGCCGTTTATTTTGGGATCGCGGTGCATTGGCACTGCAAGCGTGTGCAACGCTTTCGTGGGTCCTCACGGCGCCGCCCGCGGCCGACCCGCGCGTCCCAAGTTATTTTATCGGTTCTCTTTCGACCGTGAAGTAAATGGGCAAACGAAAGAACCTTCGAATAAACGATGAATGTGGTTTTATGTCTTATTTTCCCCTGTGCGCAATGAGTTATGTCACAACACTGTTTCCTGTTGTAACATTCACGTTGACGTTTACAGAAAATCTCTGCCAAAAAGCTGTCCTCTGCTCCCCCTGTCCCGGTGAAGAGAAACACCCTGGCTGCTGCCAAACCAACTCCCGCGTCTGTGCCAGGTTAGTCTTGGTGGTGCTAGCCACAGCCCCACACCCTCGGTTCCCAGACTGCTCTGCGAGCTTTCGACAATATCCCACAGACTTGTGTGCATTTCCTGCATTCTTTGTTGTTGTTCGCTCTACCACCCCTAAATCTGTGAGGTGTATTCCATTAGTTTTTCCCTTTTGGCAATCAAATTTACGTGACAAAAATGAAAAAAGCCTTGAGAGCTCAGAATCTTGCTCATGAAATGGCGATAAGCTCTAAAGCCTTTAAGACCAAGAAGCCATACAAATTTCCTGAAAAAATGTCAGGTATGTCGTGGAATTAGCTCTGTAATTTGTGTGTGCAAAAATAATGTACTCCTGACTAATGGTATTGTTTTTCCAAAACTCATGTTGATAATAATTTACTGTTAAAAACATCCTTGTAATATATAAACCTAGTACCCAGTAATCCATCATTAATCTTTTTCAGAAAAGAAAGCATCTCTCTAAATATTCATTTAAAACAAATACATTGCCAATGCAAAATGTATGTACACTTAGCACTCAAAGCAGCTTCAACTTCATGCTTTGCCTTGTCCCCCTCTCATTTTTGAATGCCTAGTCCTAAAACATGCTTTTTTTTCTTCTCTTTTTATGAATTTCCATCAAATGTAAAGCTTTAAATGTGGTCAGACAGCATGTAACCAAAGCCTGTGTCTTGTAAAGTTTTAATGTGACATCCTCTAACGCTTGACGCTTCTATGCATGCAGGCATTCCACTTTCTTCAACCGCACTGAAGAGAGTTTCTTCTCTTAAGCGAACTCCATCAGCTGCAGGTAAGAGCTTTTTAGTTGAAAATGAAAAGGTAATTATGTTGTTTAAAAAAAAATGTAAATATAAATGAAACCAGCAGCCATTAGATTTTTGATCGCTGAACATTTTTCTCACCAGCACATTATTGATGATATCTTAACACTACAATTAAGTGACATAAATTTTATTTTCTGCAAAAAATCAAAAACTTTCAAGTGCCTCTTGTAGATGGTAGTCCTGACAGTTACATTTGTATTCTAGGTCAAGCTGGTGCAATGGATGAAGAACAATTTATGCGTTCTTTTGAAGACGTCCCCCGAGTACAATTATTTTCTTCCAAGGATCTAGATGATCACCTAAATCAAGTTAGAGAGACAATAGCAGATCAAACCAAAGACTGGAACAAAAGAGTTGATGCAGTAAGTTCATGGAACCTAAAATTTAATCACTAAACTAAATTATGATTCCTTCTGCATCATAATGTCATATTATATTTCTTATGTAAATAACTCCATCTCTACTTGTTTTCTGTACAGCTAAAAAAAGTACGGTCCATCTTGATTGCTGGAGCCTCAAGTTTTGAAGAACTGTATGGTCATTTAAGACTGTTAGAACTTCCATTCCAATTATCAATTAAAGATCTCAGGTGAACTATGCCAATTTTCTTACTGTTGAAACAGCAAATGTGTCAATCCTTTTTTTAATTTTTACTCCCTCCCCTCTATTTCTCACTGCAAGTTTATCTGCTTTCCAGGTCTTTGGTTGTCAGAGAAGCTTGCATTACTGTAGCCTACATGTCACATCAGCTCAAGCAAAAGATGGACCATTTTGCAGAAACTGTTCTTCCTAACCTAGTTCATCTTATTCAGAACTCGGCTAAGGTTTGTTCTAAATTCTTTTGTACTGTTGATCAGAGAATCACATCAAAATATTTTACCAATGATTTTGTTTGCAGGTTGTTGCTTCTGCCGGTGTAGTTACAATACGCTTTATCCTTCAGCATACTCATGCTCCTAGGCTTGTGCCAATCATTGTATCCAATATAAGCCATAAGTCCCGTGATATCCGTCGTGCTTGCTGTGAATTTTTAGATCAACTTCTTCACACTTGGTCCCGCCATTCTCTAGAGAGGCATATTCCCTTGTTACAAGAAGGAATTAAGAAAGGAATTTCTGATGCAGACTCTGAGGCTAGATTGACATCTCGCAAGTAAGTAGAATTTCATACTAAGTTATTGATGTCATAAGGTAGGTTTCTAAGTGTGAATCAATTTTCTTCTAGGGCTTATTGGGGTTTCAAGGACCACTTTCCTGAGCAAGCAGATGCCTTATTGAACACATTAGATAGTTCTTACAAGAGAGCTCTGTTCGGAGAACTAAGCTTATCTAATTCAAGTTCGAATTCTTCTCTCCATCACCAAGCATCATTACCATCCAGTCGCTATGGACAGAGTTCCGTGTCTACCCCGCGTTCCCGACCACCAGGAAGTGGAAGTGCACAAGGTTTGTTCAAGCCTAGTTTGTTTATTTTTGATTTGGATTATGTGTTTATTTCAGTCATGTACTAGTATTTAACACTTTCTATGTGCTGCCTTTTGTAAAAATCATTGACACAGGAAGCACAGAAAATTTATTTCAACAACAATCACAAACATTATACCGCCACTCATCCATCCGTGGTCACAGGTCAGGAATTCCTGTACCGAAACCACAGTCTGCTGGGCCAAAATCCATAGATTCAGGTAGACGGACTTTGCCGTCTCTCATATGTAAAACCAATATTTGTAGATGTTTCGTAACCACCTATTTCCTTGCTGCATTTCTTGTATTTGCTTTAAAGATAATGCACCGTAGGCTTATTATTTTGTCGGACAGAATCATATTGCTTACTTATTTTTTTTTCAGTTTCGGCAATTATTACCAAGAAGTTTTAAGTTTTAGAGCCCTTAAGCCAAACCCTTACATAATTGTACTATAGTTATCATTACCTTTTTCTGATTTGTTTCTTTATTTCAGCTTGCATGTGTATCTTAGTTTAGAAGCAGTAATTCTTTGTTTGCGCCTTTTGCTCTACTTTATAAGATTTTATTCTGCAGATGGCTTGCGACGCGGTATGGTTTCACCTTCCCCATCATCAATGATGATGCGCTCTAACTCAGCAATGGATGCAGCTGCAGTCCAAAGAGCCAAAGTGCGAACACAGTATGCAGCTTTGTCAAGGCAGAAAGTAGGCTCTGGCACATCCTTGCGTAAGTCACCTCACCATCAGATCATGTTTATCTTATCATTATCCATCCCATTAAATAGTTGATTTCATTTAGTGATAATTTTTGGTATAATAATATACTTAATATTAGGTATGTTGCTTGAGTGACCTTAAGTGCTTAAACAACCGTTCATTTATTTATTTTTATGAATGAAATTTATACTTGTAGTGTAATTTTTGCATTATGTTTTTCATGCTGCTCATTAGACGATGAGGAGGGTAAGTCCTCCTTCTTTGAATGGGTAGTTTAATGTTCAGAATTCTACTTAAAATCATCTTCGTTCTTGTCTTCTTAAAGTACGTGCTGACATTTAACTTTGGCTACCAATAATTAATGTTACTGGTTTGTCTTCCTACAGCACGCGCCCGGAAATCACCGATGGTTACTCCTCAAGAGCGTACAAGCCGCACTCGAACAAGGGTTGCTGGAGTTTCTCAGTCCCAACGTAAGTTAAAAAATTGTGTTTGGTTTTCATTTTTTTTTTAAGGGAAACAAGTGTTTGTGTCTATTTGTGTTCTTTAGATTGTTTGTTAATGATATAATTTTTTTAATTTCAGCCACAAGTCGATCAGGCTCTCCATCATCTAGACTGAGCTATGTTACTTACGGCTTCAGAGGCGATGGTGATGCTGCTGATAGCTCACCCTCTTATGTTGGAACCTTGGGCCGACCTCGAAGATTGGGATCTGGAATTCCTCGCTCAACTCATGGCAGTAGAGACGCTTCTCGTGAGACAAGCCCCAACCGATTTGGTGCTTTAGGTGGTCATCTTTACGACAGGTCCTTTGGATCTAAACTTAGGTAGAGTATTGCTGCTGTCTAGTTTTGGTGGCTGAATGGTGAATCTTTTGACAATTATTTTATCCTTTTAACTCACAGGGGTAGACATGGTATGTCGCCATCTGAAAGGCCTCCTACATCAAGCCGTCCTGTAATGGCTCAAAAAATTTTACAAGCAAGCAGGGAAGCAGAGTCAGCACTAGCTGATGCCTTGGTGAGCAGAGGACATGTACGAATAAAAGTTTTACTTCCTTAAATGTTTTATTTTCATTACCTTACATGTTTTAAGAATGATTCAAAATATGTTTAGAAAATAAGTTATACCTGTTGCTGTTTTACAGTCAATAGACAGTCCTGAATACACAAGAGGATCTCCAAGGAAATCTTACAGATCATTTGAAGATCATTCTGATGAGAGCGAAACATCCAGTGTGTGCTCAGAGCGCTCATTTGAATCATTCCGACGCCCTTCAGATGTAAGTCTACTTTCTCTGTTATTATAGCTCAGCCCCTTGTTACATTCATAAGAGTATATGTAAATGTACCTGCTCACTGGAGGCTTTGCTGAAAATCAAGCTTCTTGTATTGGCATTCTCAACATGCATGTTTGATGGATAAAGGAATTTATGTATGTCAGCATTTTACATTGCATCACAATATATTCAGTATTAGATTGTGTTTATTGTTATTAACCCAAAGGTATGGTGAATTGCATGTCCCAATTCAGTAATTTATTCAATTATGTCTCTTCATTTAAACCTAATTTCTTTTCTCCGTATTTTCCCTCTTCACCATACTCTAAATCTTTGTTGTCCATCAGGTTACACTCTCCCTGTCCTCTCTGCGTTAAGTTCATAGTTTTTGTTTGTTTGCCTTTGTAAATTTTGGGGTTTCAATGGGACCTTGGTGTCATTTATATTGCAATTATTTTTGCCATAACGTTTTGCGTGAAGTTTGGTAAAGATATTAATTGGCCATCCTTTGTGTTGTCATTATGTGTCTGACATATTTGTGCTGCCTGCGCTTTCAGTCATACTCATGGAGCGGTTCACAACAGCGATTGTATCGTGATGTGTGGGAACCATCCCCTAAGGTAAGTGTCTTCTTCATGGTCATTAATTCACCCTCACTCATTTAAGATTATCTTTGAACACCCATGGCAGAAATACTATTGCTTACATTTTGCATTGTGTGGCATGTACATATTGGGTTTCTCATCACCATTCAAGCGAAATTACTGTGTAGTTTTGGCTATTATTTGACAGTTGCAATGAAGTGTGCAGAAGTAATGTCAGATTACTTCTACATTGCATATTTCATAGAGTCTTGCTTTTGTTTCTTTTGTTTGTTGTGTAGGAGCAATGTAGGAGCTCATGAAACTTTGAAAAATACAACTAATCTATTATGATTAACTTCATTTAAACCATTTCGTGTGTCTGTGTGTCTTAACTCTTTTACTTTTGAATTACAGGACATTGCTGAAATTATTGCTAATTGTGCTAGTACTCTATGGAGTGATCGTAAGGAAGGTCTCCTTGGACTCCAAGCATATTTTCAGGCTGGCAACATGCTCAACGCCTCTGAACTTCGTCGCATCACTGATATTTTTACTAAAATGTTCATGGATTCTCACACAAAGGTTTGTAACTCCTCCAGCCAAGCAAGTGATATCAGTTTTAAAGAGTTTGATTCACTTATGTTTGGAATTTTACAGGTTTTCAGTTTGTTTCTGGATACACTTCATGAGCTGATTGTGTGTCATCATGCGGACTTAAATGATTGGCTGTATGTACTTCTGACAAGACTGCTTAATAAATCTGGGGCTGACTTGCTTGTTAGTCAGCAGACTAAAATTAACAAAGTGACAGAAGTAGTTCGGTTAGTATTTTTATTTGTGTATGGTTCATTTTACCAGTTTTCTTTTTATAATTTATATGCCTCTAGAGTCAACTAACAACTTTTTATTTTGCTTTTAGGGATGTATTTCCTCTAGAATTACAGCTAAGTGCTCTGATGCGCTTCCTCACTGACCCTGCCCAAACACCGAATCTCAAAGTAAAAGTGGCAACATTGAGGTATCTTACACAATTGGCTGCAATGATGGACCCTGGAGGCCTATCTTCTGTGGCATCTTCTCCTTCGCCAGGAGGTGGAAGTGACCAGTTTGCAAATGCTTTAGCCAAAATTATAAGCTGGACTCAGACTGAATTGATGGGAGGGAAGGGTGGAGATATTCGGAAGTCAGCTCAACAGGCTTTACTTACTTTATTCAATCTCAACACTCCATTGGTCACCATGAAACTTGCTTCCCTACCAAAGGACTATCAGGTTTGTACTTTTTTTAATATGCTTTTAGCAAAATAATAAAACAATAAATTGATAACTAGGGAGACAACTAAGTATTTTGAGTGATGTTTGAAAACTTTTAATTTCTAGGAGGCAGCTTACAGTCTGGTTCAAAGTGACTTGCGAAGAAGCAGTAGTGGCGGAGGAAGCGATGGACAAAGTCATAGTAATGGCATTTCATCAACCCTAAGCTCCCCTCCATCGTCAACTATTTCCTCTCCCCCTCAGTTGCAGTCACCAAGGACACCTACCCCAACAGGGGCTCGGTCATCACCTCTGCGTACTTTAAATCACCATTATGGTGGGCATCATCCATCCAACATTCCTCAGCATCATTCGCATCACTTAGATGATGAAAACTTGAATCCAGAAGAAGTCCATCGGTGAGGCCCAGAAACTGCTCACATAACTGTCATTCCATATCTGAAATATCAAGTGCCTACAGTATGGATGTTCTATTATTTCCTGTTTTTAAAATTACAGGTCATTGCGAAGGACTACAGCAGAAATCCAAAGTTATAGCTTTGAGCCTCTGAACTCTGGTAAAATGCTTGACAGAGAAAGAGATCGAGACACAACTTCTCAAGATTCAGGCATCAGTCAAATGTCTGTTGGTCCAGGAGACAAGCTAGAAGCGTTAGAGGAAAGGATTGAAGATCTTAATATTTCATCAAACTCGGTGTGCAGCCTATCCTGTTACTTGATTGTGTCAAACTTTTTGTGTTACATATGTGATTCTGGTTTTATTGTATTGCCCCGCTCTGTCTAACAGGGTCGAGCCTCCTCTTTGCCTTCTCCTACACATAAATTTAATGGACTGCTTGATAAAACTTTGTCAGGAGACTCTGTAGACGGTGAAAATGGATTCATTTCTAAAGGTATTTTCACACACTAACATATGCTCTTATTGTACATTCTTTTTAAATCTTAATTTTGGGGGTGTTGTTTCTTAGGTGAAGAAGCCTATCAGGAAGATAAGGAAGCCATTCAAAAGATTGTTCAGACTCTGAGGGCTGAGGAAGATTCTATAGATGCACCTGTAACTGAAAGAATTGTTGCCTTGAAACGCCTAGACCTCCTCGTGAGAGAGGGCTCAACTCAGGCAATTATAGATAACTTTAAATCCTTATTAAGAGTGCTAATGCATCAAATTCTGAAGCCTGACAATCAAATTCGTTGTCAAGTGCTCAATGTTCTTACTGAAATGGTCAAGAAGCAGTCTTTGGCTCCCTGCTTCTCAATGTTTGTAGAACTCCTTGTTCTTAAGGTGTTGCAATCACATGGAGATGTGAAGGAAGTAAGTAGGGATGATGTTGTACGTACATTTTCAATTTTTTTTTAAACTATCAGTTGCTTGGAGTCAATGTTGAACAACCTCTTAATTTATCTTCAAATACGTTGCAGGTTCTTAGAAGTTCTGAAGCTTGTGCATCAGCAATGGCCATCTATTTACCTTCTGATGTGATAGTACATGTTTTGATACCCCTAATTGTGACTGGGGAGTACCCTGTCAACCAGAGTTCGATTAAAATGTTGACAAAACTAGTTGAACACCATGGAGCCAGCAGTATTGACCCTCGTCTTTCAGACCTTATGCCAGGCATCATGAAAGTATGTAACACTTTTAGCTTTTTTGTCCTTAACAAATTACTTATGCTCATAATTTGATTTTAAACTTGTATTTGTTTTAATTACAGGCTTATGAAAATGAAGTAAGCTCAGTTCGCAAAGCAGCTGTGTTCTGCATGGTTGCTCTGCATGTTGCTCTTGGCGAAGAGGCGCTGGCGCCATATCTTGCTACACTAACTGGTCCAAAGCTCAAACTTTTAGATTTGTACATAAAGAGAGCTAAGGGTTGTTCAGGTGCTTCATTACCTACATCACCAAAAAATGTGCCGATGTAAGGGTGGCTTTTAAAATTAAAATAAAGTAATTTGCATAAAATATTGTTATGAATTTGATTCTCCCATTAAAGCCTCTACAGATAACTTCTTTGTGAAATATCTCAAAATCCTGTCCATGTGATATTGCTACCATGGCCATCAAAGCTGGTACAGTAATTGCTAAACTTTTTAACCATTCCTTTTATCTTGTTTTCTATTTGAAGTTCTGAACATTGTTTTATGTCTCTATGTGCATTTTGAGTTCATATCTCTGTGAATTCAACAGGGTAATGACTATTATTATTTATGTAATTTAAAGATGAAAGTAGGGTCTGGTAACAATTGTAACTGACTGTAGTGCCACACTTACAAAAACGTGTATCTAATTCATTCACTGTGATTAGCAGTTGCGCAGGAGGGAGTGATTGATTGTGTCCTTATACAGTAGTATGTACATCAGCCATGTTCTGTCTTAATAAACAACTGCTTTGTTTTCCAATCTGAAATGTCAATGCTGGACCTCTGAAATTAGACAGCTATTCAAAAGTTTGGAACATTTAGTTAAATCAATACATGTCTTGTTTCAGAAGAATGTGAAATCATCTTTTCTTATTCTATATTTTCTTTCAATGTCATTGCATTTTATTTATATAGGCTTTTTTTATAGAAATGGGCTATCTCTATGAATATTATCAAAGGTTGTAGATATTGTCGGATGTATTTATTTCTTAAATTATTGTGATGGGAGATAATTTTCATATGCTGCCAACTGTCATTTTGAGGCTTTAATGGGTTTCAGTGCTATTTTTGTTAAGTTGTTCTAATTTGTAATCTTTATTGAACAATTTTGAATTTTTTATGGTAGCAATTGATTTTATAATTCAATTAAATGGTAGAAAGAGTGCTATGAATGAGACTACTGTAGTACATGTTTTGAATTATGCTGTTACTCTTCCTTTTTTTTTTCTTCTTAAGGAAATAATGTTGTGAATGTTTTACCATGGTCTCATGATGCCAATTGTACATAAGTTAAATTATTAAATGTTTGATGTAAAACAAGTCTGCTTTGTTAAAGGTCAATTGTGTTCAAAACTTTTCAGAGACCTAATTTTTATGTATGGTCTAGACAAGCTGCTACTCAGGGCTCAAGTAACATTTATTTAAATGTACTTCAGTGAGTCTGTTTGTTTGATTTTTTTATCTCGTCTAAAAGCATTGTATTTTGTATTAAATCTATTCTGAGAAGTGTTGACTCAAAATGAACCTCTACATTTTGTCATGTGGTTCATTCTTCAGTTTACCTCAAGCAGTTGCTGTATTGCTGAATGTAAAGTAGGATCATAACAAGCCATGGAACCTCTGAAGGAAATGGATAATATCCCTGTGTAGAATAAAGAATGTAAATATGTGAATGTTGGTTGATTCTTATCATGTCCAAAGAGTAACTGCTTTGTAAAGACAATGAATGCACTACTGTTTTGTGGTGAGAAATTTGTTACAGTAATAATTATATGATGAACTCCATGAAACTTGTGCCTACTTCCTGCAGATGCACATGGATTGCATGATGTGATCAGATTTTATAAGCATCCCAAACTTGGATCTTAGATGTTACTTCCTAGAAGGTAAACCTTAGTCATTTGTATTCAGCTTCATACTACTTGACCCTTGTTTTGTACAATTTTATTTCCAAATGTCATAACAATGTTGCATGTTGCCTTCTCACTTGTTCTTAACCAAGCATTGTACTGGAATTTTATGGATGACCCTAGAGATATTCTGTTCTTAATAAATTTTTCAACACTGATGTCACTGTTTATTTACACAATCCTTCTATCTAGTATCCCCCACACTATAATTATGTAGTCTGCAGTGCACTGCGCAATATTGAGTCTGACATTTCTAAAATTAAAGTCACTTTGTTGTTTGAACAATACACAGCAAATGAAAGTAACTAGAACTAGAACTGTAGCCGCTAGTGGAGAGGGAACTACCACTACTACCCGCATAACCGTGAAGCCTCGTTGCAGGGCTTCATTAGCAGAAGTATCAGAGCAATAGCAATGGACCATCACTTTCCTCGCTCCTCTACTCCACTCCTCTCCTCTCCTCTCCTCACCCCAGCCAGCCAGAGCCTGCTCCCTGCTCCGGCTCCAGCCGGACTCCACCTTTGCACGCCGAAGCAAATTTTTGCTGAGGCCAAAAGCGGCTTTATTCAAAGTTTAAATGTCAGATTTACTCGTATTACACAAGCTTGAGGAAAGTGACTGAGTATGAGTGCCTAAAAAAGAACACCTGAGGGCTGTCGTCGACTGCAGTAAACAAGCAGAAGACAAGCAACGAAATAAAACTAAACTATCCGGGCCTTGAGGGCACCTCGCAAAACTGATTTAACTTCGCGTCTTTTTTTGATTTTGGAATCAACTCCGAAATGTCGCGAAGTGCAGAGGAGCAGCAGATCTTAGATCAGCGGATCCAGGCTATGAAGCAGAAAAATGAAGAGCTTCGGAGAAGACATTTGGTGAGTTCATGTATATTTATAAGGTTATGATTGATATTTCACATCAATCAGGTCAATCAGTTTGGTGTTACGGTCTTCAAAACAACCGCTGTTGTCTACTTTGTTTTCAGTTTAATCTTATTATTGTTATCTTTTGAATTAGTTGTGTTAAGATGCTTTTACAAATTCAATGATAAAAAAATGTTTTGTCACCTTGTTTTTTTTATTTATATGCCCTTAGGAAGTAGAGGCAGACAAGCAGTCGGCTGCCAAACAAAACGCGCTTGTTAAAATGAATGTTCCTCTTGATGATGACTGGGTTCCTGGGAGACACGATGACAATCCTCGCCATGATCGTCAGCAAAATGAGGGCCCCTCTCCACCACATGAAAGAGGAGATGATAACGGTCAGAGATATGAACAGCGTAGACACAGAAATGATGGACAAAGGGATGAAAGGTATAGTCACAATCAAAGGCATTTTCAAAATTCCAACATGAGGAGATCTGATCAGCAAGGATCCCGTCAGAGACCGGACGATGATAGATTTTATGGTAATGAAAATAGGCGCTCTGGAGAGTACGGGGGACGGTCCAATGATGGCTCTAGCAGTCGATCTAAAGAATGGGTGCAACATGGCCATAGAGGTGAAGGAGGCCAACAATCATCCTTTCCTTCCAAGGTTTTCAAGAACAGCTCCATAGAATCTGATCGCTCGAAGCGACCTGCATACAGATTGGCGGAAGTATGTTTCATGAAAAGTATATCCCTTTTTTTGTAAAATAATTATTCTAAATTTTAAATTACATTTTCAATTTTAGGGTGATGGTCCTCCTCCAGACCCTTCATACTCTTTTCTGGGGGATTCAATGAGGGATTCCCGAGAGACAGGAGAGAGAAGGGGACAACCCAACAGACGGGGTTTCCAGAGAGGTCGTGGACGTGGTGGACAAACATGGAATAACCGCAACTATAATGTATGTCATCTTATGTGGTATATTGTAATTAATAGTTATTACCAATAATGTAATCATCACTCAGTAGTTTTATTAAGCTTTTGTCTTAATTTAAAAATATTACACTTATTTTAGGACTTCAGGAAAGATGGA